GGAAAAAAATGGATATTGTAAGAGTTGGGTCTTTTTTGATTACCTGCTCAATTATGGTCCAAAATTAATTGCTTATCCTATCACGCTTTGTAAGATTAATCTCTGTTTGTTGGAGGAGGCTGAATCACAACAGATTGTTGCCTAAGAGAATCCTCGGGAAACACAGATCTCAGGGAATTGTACCTTTGCATTTTAGGGTGGCCTAGGTAAAACAGCCCACGTAAGTAATTTATTTTCTTAAGCTAGTGAAATTTAAGTAGGATCTGAAGCTGCATGGTTTTGCTTGTGATGTGGATAATAACATTAAAAAGACATTATCTGTGGAAAGAATGTGAACACTGGTTAATTGCTACATAAAAGTGAAACTTAAAATTTTTCCTAATCTACACTTACCTGCTCTAAATCTGACCTGAAAAAAAATTATCATGTAACTGCATTCTTACCTCATTTTTGTCTAATTATAACGAATAGCAATAATAACAGAAGTGATTTCTTCCTTACAAGCCTTGCCTCTCTACATTTTTGCCACCTGTATTGATTAAAAAAACTCAAACACAGGAGGGGTAGGATTGAGAAGAGAATATCAGTGATCTATGGAGTCATTCTCTCCCAGGGTAGATATGAACCGCAACTCCCCACATTCCTTCTCTTGCTGCTGCTGGCTTAAGTGCTTGCTTCATTTGAACTGCACCTGGCATACTGGGTTGAGAATGTGAATTAGGCTGCAGATGTTCCTATTTCCTGTAGAGCTGCACAGCTTTGGAAAGTACTTGCCCCTCCGGCTGAGCAGGAAGAGGGTTTTCCAGTGCCAATTCCTCTTGCAGTTGGAAAAATTATGGATCTTGCGTCTTGTGTCTTGGTCCTTTTTTGCAAATGTCATCTGTCTTGCAGAATGAAACTGGACAAGCCAAGATTACCCACATGTGACAGAAAAGTGTCAGGAAGAAGTTTTGTACTAATCCACAGCAAAAATAAAGCAGTACTGGTTCTTGAAGTATTCTATCTCATGGATGAATTGCTCTGTTAAATCCTTCCCCTGCTGAATCACTACTTTGTGCTTGCTGAATAGATTGTTTTTTCTCCTGAGCCCATCCTCTGGAGTCCGAGTGAGTCCACCTGAGCAACTGGAAGCCAGTACCTTTGGATCCTGCTCCACTGTGTCCCACTGCTCTCCCACTCCGGGTCCAAATCTGAACTAACAGCATCTTAATGTCCCAGCTGTACTCACTCATAGCAGTTCAGATTATTGATCAGCTTCTATTCAGTGACTGATTTGTCCATCCATTTAATTTTAGCAGTCCATGCCTTCCATGAGAAGAAAGGAAAGCTACATGTGTACCTACTTAGACTAAGGCTCTGCTTCCTGGAAAGCCAAGGTCTGGCTTGCTGAATCCCACAAACAAGTGCTTGTGCATCACCGTTTTCCATATGCGACTGTGGGCCCTGGTCAGAAAGAAATTCTGGTTTTCTTTTTGCTTTTCTTGATTAGGAGCAGAGTTATAGAGTTCTCTTCTAATAAGCGTTGCCACCATGCCATACTACCGCTGTTCTTAGATCTAACCAAAATGATTTTTTTTTAAAAGCATCTCATGTTAGCATCAGTGGGAGCCTGTCCTTTCTACATGGGCTGTGCCACTGTGTCAACAGCTCTGCTGGCAGATGCCAGGACTGGTGTATGCTCAGGTATTTCAGGCTCAGAAATACTAGCATGGGTGTAGGTGTCCTGATGAGATGCAATACAAAGGAGCACTGTGGTACCTGTCCCTTGTGATTAGGACATAGACTTTGTTTTGCCTAAGGAATCACCCTTCTGGAAAAACCTGTAGAAGCTGGGGTGTCGTGATAGTGTGTGGAAACAGGACTGTGTGTGTGTAAGGCTGCTGCTATTAAACCTCGGGGAAGAAGAGAGTCTGAATATCTAATTCAAGACACTTGAAATAACCGTGGCACTGAGCAGAACTCCTCATATAGCTAGTCTCTGCTTGTTTTACATTTGCCCTTGGGCCAACAAATCATAGAATTCACAGGCAGCCATGGAGTGAGCATGTGAAAACACATGGGCAGAGAGTTGAAGAGATGGGAAGGGAATATACAAGCACTTCTAATTTTCTTGCGTAAGATGACTCTACTGCAGAACATGCTGTGGTAGAGCAGGCTAAGTTTTTCTCTTCTGTGTATTTTAAGTGACCTTCAGTGTTGTCCTGTGCCTCGCTGACACAAGAGGCTTCTGCCAAAGTGAAGCTTTTCTGGTGTGAGTTTCTTTCTAAAAATGGTGTTATACTTGCAAGAAATTCAGTTCTCTATGTTGTTACAAAAACAGCACGAATTCCTTTCCTCTGTGAGCCTGCTGAGCTTGGCTGGATTTTTTTTTCCATATCTTGACAGCTGTTTAATACACAGATTTATCAACACAAACAACAAAACACACACAGAAGCAATTTTTCTAGTTACTTCACCGTAGTAAATGATTAGATCCTATATGCATATAATGTTTTGGTTGGTTTTTTTTTTCTTCATTTTTCTGTATTTGTTGGGCTGAGATTACTTCCTAAATTATTTCCTTTATCCTTGTTTAAGCTCAGAAGCAGCATTGTCTTAACTAAACACAAGTTTGTCACTTATCAGAGGCACTTAAATCTGCACAATCTCTGAAACCAACAGAAGAGAACTTGTACTAGGTCCGTTATGTCTCTAAGCTACAATTGTAGACCTGAGACCCTGTTTTGGCAGTGTCTTCTTAATTTTGATATCTCTGACCTCAAGTGCATTTGCCTCTTACTGTCAGAAAATTCTCCTTGTGCACATCTGTGCTGTTTTTGAAGCAGGTCGTCAGCTCTGAAATTGCACCTTTAAAAAAACAACCCAAAACCAAAGCCAACTCCCTCCAAAATAAAAGCTCTGCATGTAGTGCTGAATGCTGTCTCCCTAAAAAACAGTGAGGAGAGCAAGGCAACCTGACTAAACCATGGTCACATGCAGCTACCCCGAAGAATACTGGAGGTGGGACCCTGTAGGGCTCTGGCCAGGTGGATGCAAGCCGTGCTTCAGGCTTCCTTGCAATCACCCTTGAGCATTCCCTGCTTCCAGTTTCATAGGAAGTGGTGGATCGGCATGACATAAGCTGTCTGATAAAGCTGGTTTCCTTTGCAGTGCTGCAGGCCTCATTCTGCACAGTAGAAGCATATAGTAGGGAGGCTTGTTACTGTGCTGGTGAGTAGCACATAGAAGCAGAATAAATCCAGTGTGCATAGATCAGTTCAGCCCCATCTACCCTTTAGTGTGTTGCTGGCAGTGTCTGGTGTCTACATGCAGCCTGTCCTGAGATAGGGAAAGGAAAAAATCATAGTTTTTCAGTAGATGTTTATTGTGCCTTACTAAAAGCTGACTTTTGAACTTACAGCATCACTTTATCGCCTTGTTGCATAGCAGAGACGGGAATAATGCTTTAGAATTTCTCTCCTTGGAAAGAAGTAGTTAATATTCTGCTAAAAGCTCACAGATTTCAAACTTTGATCCCAGCTGCAAGCACAGCCAGCTAGATACTTTACTGTATTATGTCTGCAACCTTGTGATGGGCCATTTTACGTCATAGGCTATGCTGGAGGCCTTCTTTTGTTTTTATTTTATACTGTTCTAAGCCTTTTGTTGGTATGGTCTTTCTGACAGATTTGTGTCCCTGCCATTTTTTCAACAAGAGATCATTAATTTTGGAATATATAGCAGAGTTTGGGGAGGAGGACTTGCAATGGAGGTCTTTCTGCATTCTTGGAAAATTAATGTCAAGACTGTACTAAAAATGAAGTGATTTGTGCCTGTGTTCCCAGAAGGGGAAAGCTAAGCTATATTAGGTTTTGTGATGGAGTGTTATCACCTGTAAGAGGCAACTAATTTCTGTCTGCCGGTGTATCTTTGACTCAAAATACTCATTGTTTCCACTAATTCTTTCCTGGATTTTTTTTTTTCCTGGGCTAATCTTCTTAGCTTTTAAATACTTCCATGCACGTACTGTCAGAGCCAAATCAAATATAATTGGAAAAATGTGACTGGAGCTGTCAGCATGAGACAGACTGGGGTTGTAGAAGCATGGTGTTTTTCATACACCTAAGCTCCACCTTTCTGAGTCAACAAAACGCAGGGCTGTTTGGATTGTTGAAAGCTTGAAGAGAAGCCAAGGAGGAGGCTTCTCAGCAGTATGGGCTGAGTTAAATTCTGTTGCTCTGAGGATGAGGGCAGTAAGCAAGCTTACTGTCCACCTTTCCAGTGGACAGAAGAAAATCCTTTTGTTTGGTTTCTGTTCTGCAGCCAAGGCCACAGTTATCCTCTTCTACAGCCTGAGCTTCAGATGGGTTCCACTTCTTAAAGCAGCCTGTGGCCAGAGCTTATGTGCCCCTGTGGGTCTGCCGTATAGGGGCTGGAAACAAAGCATCCAAATTCCAACAGCAGTGGTATCTCAGAGCTGGTCTTGCTGTGCACTTCCCTGGCCAGGAGTCCATGCCAGCTCCCTGTGCCAGTGTTTCATGGGGCAGCTCTTGGCCAAGTGGTTGATCAGGTCATAGCTGTGCCTTTGGAGCGGATCTTCTGTCCTTACCTCTCTTGGAAGACATATAAGTTCAGAAAGGGCCATCAGTCCAACAATCATCCAGCTGTGTTGGAATGGATGTGGAAGCAGAGCAGGGGGAGGCACTCCTCATCTAGCACCCTCTAACCTCATAAACCATAGGGCAGTCTAGAACTTACTGGATGCTAGCAAATGGGAGGGACCTTTTGTGTGGAAACAAACAGCAAAAAAAGCTGGAGGTAGACCCCCCCAAAAAAGTTATTTCAGCTGGTCTTCCTTGGGTGCTGTCAGCATGTGATAGCCAGGACTAATTAAGTGAGTGACTGCTATGCTGAAGCTTGCACTGAAGATAAGACTTTAAGCACTCAAGAATGCCTAATGCTTAATGTACTTAACTTCTAAAACTGTTTGTTTTTAACTGCCCTTTTCTCATTTGTTTCAGGTTGCATGTCTGGTTGGACTTGATGCATGACATTTGCATGACAGCTAACAACCTAGCTCTGGATGTGTCACTGAGCAAACATGGCCTACCCAGCAAATACTAACGGCAGTGCTGCAGGTAACTCATCAGATGTTTTTCTCATTTTGTATCATTATGTTTTCTGGCTTGCCTTTTTTCTTACATTGTGAAAGCAGCAGAAAGGGGAAGTGGCTGGAGTCAAAACTAAACACTGAAAACTATTTTCCAGGTCGATCAGAATCTGGCTGCCCCATCCTTTGTCCCCATCCTCTCAGTAATCTTTTGAATAGCAGAAGTGAAAGCTGTATGTGAAATGGTATGAGCTGGTAACTTGGTCTACTGGTTCACAGCACAGTTCACTTTCACAGACTTACACAGCCTTACACCACCCTGAGAGGGCTGGGGCTTTGCTGCAGGAAATCGTGCGGTTGTTATCCTGTGCCTGTAATTGCTTTGAGAGATTAACCAGCATGGAATATCCAGCCTTTCCTGATTGCCCATGTGGGTTTGGCTAATTTAAATTTACTTTATTGATTCTAAGCAAGCAACATCAAGAGGAGGTCTTCAGGTTTTTTTTTTGTTATTTCAGGAGGCTGCTGAGATGTCTGCTTTGGTTGTGTGATATTCTGGAATAGATGGTTGGCATGTACAAAGGTTGCTGCTAGGTCAGGAAAGGGCAGAGATTGCAGAATGACTGATAAAAGCACAGCAGCCGTGTTCCTCTTGCAGTTGTGTCAATATTTTCCTGCTCTCCTGATTGCTGCACAAACATAGCTTCATCCCACTAAAGCTCAAGCTTCCACAGAGGGATTATATGGAAAATTTCAAGTGCATGGCAGGAGCTTGTGGGTGTTCTTCTGAGACCTCTTGATACAGGTATGGTGGGAAACAGATTTATCAAGACAGGCTTGGGTGGCTGGAGACCTGGTGAAGAACCTTAAACACCTCTATTACTATGTGCATCTATACAGATTTCAGCTTTTTTATTGGTGAGGCTCATGTACTCACATTCTAATGATACTCAGTGGATCATGACGTGCAGGTACTGAGAATTGGCTTATCTGGTGGTTTTTAGCATCAATCTCATTAACAGGTATGCTCTGTTACGGAAACAAATCCTAAGTTGCTGGGTATGCTCACTCTAGAATTTTTCTAATTAGTGGAAGGGATTAAAGTGTCCCTGAAGTAGAAAATGTGAAATATGGAGTGTCATTATCTGCGATTTATGCAAAACAGAATCCTTTTTTAAAGGCTAGTGGAAGTTAAGTGAAAATGTTGAAGTTGTCTATCTGCAGATTATTTAAAGCTAAACCTAGCAGTACTACTAAATCTTGAAAAAGTATATTTTCTCCCTCCTCCCCCCTCTTCCATATTTCTATACAAGTAGAAGTATATTTTCTAAGAAAGAAATTGTATTTTGCTACTTTTTGTAATGCTTTTAGAAAAAGCAGACTTTGAATCCTCTGCTGTGTGACTTAACTGTAGCTGTTTACTGCCTAAACCCTCTTATAATTTGCTTTTTTTTTTTTTTTCCCAGTAGCATGCTTTTAACTTAAGTCATGCAGAACAATTCCCTCTGCTTAAATGGAATGAAGAATTGTGCACGGACTGTTACTGATTGGTTTGCTATTACTCCATATGCATTCCCCCTCAATAGAATGGTCTATCAGAAAAGTTTAGTGAGCAGGTATTTAAGAATAAAAAAGCCAAGTGCTCGTATAGGGGATGTGTTAATGCAAGATTAAGTTTCAGTTTCTGAACTGTTATGCAAACAGTGCTTCATGCAGGATACTAGCTGTTTGTTCCATTAATTGCAGAAAGACACTATAATGAATTGCAAGTTTTTAATTGAGAACTAAATAGAACGTTTTGCAGAGACTGTCAGGACTTGTTGGCTTTGCAAACCCTTGAGGCCAGCGTTCTAACATGCAGCTACATATGCCTGTGTCTCCAAATCCTTAGATTTCATAATGGACAGAGTATTGGGCTACAGGTACGTGCGATTCGTTACCCTGCTGAGTGCCTGGGAGAGAATGCCTTTGGATGAGAAGGAACTGATATGGGCGTTGCAGGTATTGAAGCAAACTCCTTAATTGCACAGAACTCTAACAGTGCAAAAGAGAAACTGCTGGTGTGGTGTCTTCTGCACCTGCGGAATCAATCAGCAACAAGAAAAGAATGAGAAATACTTGTTATGGATTGCTAACCTGCACGTTACTCGAATTTTTGGGGCAAGTTTGACCACATATTCAGCTGCAATTCAAGTATGAAGTGACTAAGGAGCAGTGGTTTGCTTTGGTTAACTCGAGAATGTGAGTACTTTCACTGTTAGTGGTTATGCCTACATGACATTTTGGCAATTTTTTTAAAATTATACAAGTCTAAATGAACTACTGCTGTTTCAGATAAAATCTGTAAAGGAATGCTTGAATTTGGAACTCATTTTCAGGAAAGGATTAAGCTATTTTGCATTTGTATAGAGGACTTTTTAAAGGATGTTTCTTAAAAGTACTTTTACTGTAAATATTTTCAGTTGAGGATGTACGTGAGATAAGGTACAAAACAGATTATGGCTTTCATGAAAGAATCAAACATAAATTTGACTGCCTCTTGCATATTTCAGTAAAGACATGGACTTTAAATATGGCTAGTAAATAACAGAGGCTGTGATATAGATTTCAGTGCTGTTTGTCAACAGTTTTGTTTACTGCTGAATTACTAACTTAAAGTTTAATCACTTTTTCTGGTTTCACTACACGAACGTGGGCTGTATTTCTGTAGGCTGCAAGCGTACAATCTCTGCATTTTGGAAACTGATTTAGAGCTTAGTTCTGGAAACTTAGTTCTGATGTTTGAAGTAAGCTCTATCAGTGTTCTGCTGTATGCTTGGAAAATTGCTTAGATCCCTCTAACGCTGTTGGCAGGTGAGTCGGCGCTTGCAGAAAAAGCTTTATTTTAACAGTTAAGTGCTGAGTAGTCACAACTGTTTTCTGCTATCTTCCTGCCTCAGTGGCATGTGAGCTGACTGCTCAGTGCAGGGCTAAGCAACGCAGTAAGTCCAGAATCTGTCATGTTCTTGTCCAGGGAGCTACAGCAAGTTCTGACATATACTCTGTGTCTGTGCAGGGCTACTGGGGGATATACTTTTTTTTTTTTTTTTTTAAAGGGTTTGTTTTCTAAAATAGCATTAATGTCTTTGTTAATTGCTAGTTGAAACTTCCAGTAATTGTTAGCTTTTGTGCTTGCTAGGACTGATGCTTAAATCATCTTATCTAATGAGATTTTGCAAACGTTTGTGTAAATTATATCTCTAGAAGGGTTCTCAGGTCAGCTCTGAAAAGCACAGTATGTACCTGTCTGAAGTTTAAAATCCAGCCTGAACTATTTCTAGTTACTTTCACTAATATCTGATTTGCTGAAACTTTGTTTTCAGAACATTTTCTGAAAGGCACAGAACGGTGTGAAACTCCACTGCAATTCCATTTGTTCTGCTGTAGAAAACAAGGAAGTGGCAAAAGAAACATAGGAAACTGATTTACAAAGATAAAAGTTTAAAAACCATATTTGTTTCCAACCATAATAAAAACAACTGTTTTATTTGACTTCCCTAAGCCCCTCATGCTCTGTCTCGAGAGCTTGCAGAGTTGTTAGTCACCTCTTTAACGATGACACAGAAAAGCTTTTTGGCAGAGGAAAAGCTTTTTTAGTGTTCCTCAGCAGGATGGGCTGCAGGGGTCACTATAACAAGGCTGTTGCACGAACATTTTTACTTTGCTGTAAAGTAGATGCATATTGCTTTCTGGACATCTGGTGCCTTAGATTTTCCTAATCTTTTCTCCCTTTTCTCTCAGCTTTCCTCCTCACCTTTTTTAAAGATTTGTTTTCACTCCTTCCCATCTCACTTTCAGCAAGAGAATACTCGCACAGATTCACTTGAACTGTATGTTTAACTTACATGCTTTACCTCCTTCAGACTCCTACACAGTTCCCTAAGCCAGCTGCATCACAGCAGTTCACCATCACTGTCACTGTTCCCTTTGCACTGGTAGAGCAAGCTATTCCCTTTTTCCTTCTCTGCAGCAGCCAGCATTCAGGCATTGGGTGCCTGTGGATGGGAGCTGCACGGTGGTAGCCCAGGCTGCTGGGACCTGTCACCTCCACCAGATCTGGACTGTGGATCTTTGAGGCATTTAGTGGTGTATATATAAAGTGGAGGCGTTGGTTGCTGTGTTGCAGCCTGGTGTCCTTCTGATTTTTTTTTTTAATATGTGGATGGTTACTCTGCAGAGCACACATCTGCTTAGAGTGAGTATTTTTATCATTCTCTGCACTGATTTGTAAGAATTCATAACATTTGTAGACACCCTTTCAGTTACGGGCTTATTTGAGTTTCTCTTTCATGATTTGATTTTCCTAATGCAAATAATTTTTGGCAATGTGTATGGAGTTTTGCATGGTTCCCAGCCTAATGATCTCAGGTACAGCTGAAGAAGAAAGAGCTGTGCCCTGGAACATTGCCACCACTACCAATTTTAGCTGAATATCCACTATTTTTCATTGACCCTCAGTCAATTAAAAAATTAATGGGAACACATACATGCTGAAGGTGTGCTTCTGCAGCTGGTAAGATACTTGTCAGTAAGGGACCATTAAATTGCCACATAGCCTAGTACTTTCTGGATGGGCAGATGAAAAGCAGCGCTGTCAGTGATGTCCTGTTCCTGCCTCGCCCAGGAGTGATTTGGTGAGTCACTCTGGCCATGCCCAGTATTTAAAAGCAAGCAAGGGAGGGACCCTGAAATACTGAGGGTGAAGGGTGAAAGAGCCTACAGTGATTTCACATCAGCTTTATCATAAAGAGTACCAAACTTCCTTCATTATGCTATTGTATGCCAGATCCGCCTTCAGGACAGATGGCTGGAGATGCAGCTTAAGATCTCACAGCCATTGCCAACTTTCTAATTGGGCTAATAATTGTTTATTATGCAATTACTAGTTGATACCTGTAATGCAAGTTTGCAGCTGCTGCCACAATAGAACAGTTGAAAACACAATTACTTGTATTCATCCAACTGAGAGGCTTTTGACAGACTTAAGGA